AATGTAGAGTTGTTTGATTTGTTTCCCTGGAATAATATTGTTTGTGTTAATTGCTTTGTGCAGGTTGGAGAGATCATAGGTAGATTTGAGAAGAAAGGTTTCACCTTGAAAGGTGCATTCCCCCCACTTTCCCTTTTTTTCTTTGATTTGATTTTATCTGTTTATTGATTCTTACCTTTTTCTCGTTTACAATGATTCTTCTCATTTGGGTGCTGATGGTTTACATTACTCTTATCTATTATTTTCCTCTTGTTTATGTTACATTGGCCTGTGTGTTTGTCTAGATTGTATGGACTCACTTGTAAGTTTCAATTATCAAGATTATGGTTAAGTTTCAATGGTACACAAGTAGAAGATTTTATTTTAGCTTCATTATCTTGTCATACCTTACAATGATTCAATAGCATATTTTATGACTTAGGATCATCATCTCATATAAGCATATAAACATGCATTCACACATATAAGAGTTAGAAACTAGAATTTCCATTGAGAACTTGTTGAGGTGTTTTACAAAGGTTTGCCGTATGTGTTTGATTTGAAATTGGAATAAAGGATAATAATAAAATACAATAATTCATATATGTACACCTTGTTTTCAGGTCTCAAGCTACTCACCGTGGACCGAGCTTTTGCCGAGAGTCACTATGCTGACCTGTCAGCAAAGCCCTTCTTCAACGGGCTTGTCGAGTACATTATCTCGGGCCCAGTTGTTGCCATGGTTTGGGAGGGCAAGAATGTGGTGGCTACCGGTAGAAAAATAATCGGAGCCACTAATCCTGCGCAGTCTGACCCGGGTACAATCCGTGGTGACTATGCCATTGATATCGGCAGGTGATTTTTCCTGCTCTTAATGTATATTTATTTATCTATTTGCACAAAAAGATTAGTTCTACTTTATCTTTTGGGAGAACCCTATTTTGGTCCAAAAAATAGGTTTTTGACTTGTTTGCTGAACTTTGAAGCAAGAATTTGATTCATATATATATGCACATTTCTTTTTTTACAGGAATGTGATTCACGGTAGTGATGCTGTCGAGAGTGCAAAAAAGGAGATTGCTCTTTGGTTCCCGGAAGGAATTGCAGAATGGAGGAGCAGCCTTCACTCTTGGATTTACGAATGAACCTCGTGAGTGAAAGTCAGCCGTCATTTTATATGTATCATTTATAAAGATATTTTCAGCAGCAGCAGCAGGTTCTGGGCTGTTGTCATTTGAGTTTTGTGAACTTTGGATTTGGAGTTCATTTACCTTTTGTTATGGCTGACAAATTTATTTTAATCTTGTGATATGTTTTTGTGAACTTTGGATTTGGGATTCATTTGCCTTTTATGGCTGACAATTTATATTAATCTTGTGATATGTTGTGTCATGTGTGGTCCTATGGCTATGCTACCTAATTTTCACATCTATGGCGTGATACAAATTCCTAATGATGATTGCAATTTGCAGCATTTGGAAAACTCCAGTCAATCGATTATTATTTGTAGTAAACTTTCAATATCATAAAAGTACACCTTTGACAAATATCCATTTTTTACTAATTTCGGTTGAAATGGATTGTAAATGAATCAAATTAATATGTAACTACGCAATTAGGAACTTAGTGAAAATATTTGAAGTATATGTATCTACGCAATTTGGATTTGTGTGAAAATATTTGAAGTAATATGTAACTAAGCAATTTGGATTTGTGTGAAAATATTTGAGTATTTGTATTCGGTTTACTATAAAATACGTGTTTGGTTTATTTAACATAATTGAAGATATTCGATGTGATTCAAATTTTGTTTTTAGAAATTATTCAGGAACACATTAAATATAAATATTTTTGTAGTCAATATATCCATTTAATATAAATATGTATATATTATGTGATATATATTTTACATTCTTTATGATATTGAAGTTTTATACAATTATATTTAAAGAATGGAATATTCTAATTCGAATTTAAATTTCACGAATACCAAATTCGGAGCACGAGATGAATTGAAAAATACCAATTCTATCCCAACCCTACAAATTAACAGAAATCATGTCATACACGAAAACGAAGTGCAAAGTGCAATGAAAACTCTAACTATGTCATTGATGTATCAAAAGCCAGGGCAAAGTTTTATATTTGCAGTTCATTTTTTATTCCAACACCCATCAGTCCTGGTTGACTCATTTTGTTATGTCACTATTGGACTGTCCATCAGCAAATACACAGTAAATTCTGCAGTGAGCACTTGCTTTAGCTTTCTCCCAGAAAATATCTGGTAAACATCACAAAACCTTAACCCCACATATGGGGAATCACAAGAAATTAGAATATTATGAGAACACGGCAAAAGAGAGTTAGCCACAACATATTCCAGTTAGACAACAAATCCAGCAGCAATCGAACCAAAATTCATCATTCCTTGAGAACATTGCGAAATTCTTTAGCCACCATTAGCACTAGTGAGTTAGAAGGGTGTAGGAAGGCAAGTCCTCGAGGCGCATGATGCCTTCTTGGAGAAGCTCGTTCTCCAGCTGACGTCGAGTGGCTTTCATCACAGCCTGAGTAAAACCGAAACCGAAACCAAAAGAAAAGAAATAAAAAAAAAAAANTAATAATAATAATAATAATAGTATTAATATATAAAAAATAAAATAAAAAAGAGTAAAATATATATATAAAAAAAATAACAGCGGCTAGTTAACAATTGTTTTCAACGACTATTTACTATTTATTGTCTATCACTATGTTTCATGTGTTCCTTATTAGTGCTTTTGATTGACTTAAATATTTTGATACAATAGCAAAATTGTTAATAATTATCTTTTAAAATCATAATAATTCATTACAACTCATACTTACATGTGAAGTGGAATAGCAAAATTGTAATATTCAAGAAATCTAAGAGCATATTACTTACTTAATGCAAATATTTATACCGCTCAACTCTAGTTAAACGGGCCAGCCCTAGCGGGCTAAACGGTCCGAGTCTAAAAAGCCCTGATTTAAACGGGCTACTAATAAAAGGACCTAACCCTGTTTTTTTCTGGACTAAACGGATCGGGCCGTCGGGCCAAGGACCATTTAACATCTCTAGCCTGGATAATCCCAAAATTCCTTTTTCACATTTTTCGTTCACCTACAGTTTTCCCCTTATTAAAATAGTATGATATATATATTAAATTGATTATTAAAATCTTAACTATGACAACATTCTTTTATTACAGTGACTTTATACAAGGTGATGTAGCATTTGGGGTGAGTACAAACGAGACGAAACCTACAAATCGTACATTTCTATTCGTTTATTTTGAGTTAGGAGTTAGGGTTGTTATCATATATAAAATGTAGAGTAATACTATTTAGTCAACTCGAATGAAAAGTTAGGTTCCAATCTAAGTATAAATGTATTATCAAAAAATTAAAAAATAATATATTTACATTTGAATTATAACTCAAGTGAGCTTTATAGCATTACTCATAGAATGTATACATATATTCTCTTAATCTGTTAATTTATCATAGTGGAACTGTATAATTGCAGAATCAAAAATTGAAAAATTGGCACATTTGCATGTAATATAGGTATCTGCACAACTAAAAAAGTAGGTGCATCTTACAACATGCATCTTACTATTATTACAAATAACTCTAATTTCTTACAAAACAGAACCTATTTGTAACACTTATAATAGTGGATAAATTAAATTAAAAATCGAGATTGTAAAGTAAGCATATTCTCATAAAACAAGTAATATTACTTTATATTTCAACGCTGTTTTGTTCACAATTCACATTTTTCAATCAGGACAATTCTCCCACATCAGCTCTATGTGCCAACTGATATAATATAACAGCATCCAACTTCATCTCATTTTTTTTCTTTTCTTTCAAAGTCATATTATTTCCCACACCAAACTAAAGATACATGATGATACACAATACTATTCAAATATTATTTTATCTAGAGACTCTCATACATCTCCTTTCCAAGCCTAGGTTCAAGAACAACCTCAAGTGGCTTCAATTTGGGCAGGGCAAGCCCCAACCCTTCCCCCATGTCCACACTCTCCCCATCGGCCGTCGACAAATCGAACCCCTGAACCAGACGAGCCAGCGCCAGCTGGACGACCCGCATCCCGAACCCCATTCCGGGGCACATTCTCCTCCCCGAACTAAACGGTATGTACTCGAAACACTGCCCCTTGAAGTTGGTGTCCCTGTGCTGCTCTTCCACGAACCTCTCGGGCCGAAACTCGTCCGGGCCCGACCAAACTTCCGGGTCCCTCAGCATCTTCCACAGGTTCACGACCAGCCGCGTGCCCCTCGGCACGTGGGCCCCACCGACCCAACAGTCGTGGGCTGCCTCGCGCGGGCCCGAGAGCGGGCCCGGCGGGTAAAGCCTCAGCGTCTCCTTCACCACCGACTGCAGGTAGGGCAGGTCCTTTATGTCGGATTCTTGGGCCCACCTGGCCCGGCCCACGGTCGAGTCCATTTCCCGTTGGGCCTCGCGGAGGACACGCGGGCTGTTTAGGAGTAACGACAGGGCCCAGATGAGCGTCTCGGCCGTGCTTTCCGATCCCGTCATGATTAGAATCTTGGACGAAATTGTAAATTTATTTAAAATTATAATTTAAACAAATTTATAACAAAAACATGGTTAATTATTACCATCATTGTTGCCTTGATGACCGTCGATCTCGTGTAGCCGTGCACGGTTTCGTTCTCGGGAATAGCCGAAAACATTGCATCCAAGAAATCCGAACCCTCGAAATCCCCTGCATCATCATTACCACCTCTGTTTTCGGCCCTCTCTCGAACCCAATCCTCGAGCACATCGTCGATTACCTTACTAGTATCCTTCATCTCTTTAATATATCCTCCGATATCGAGCCATTCCAAACAAGGGATAGCGTCGGACAAAACAAACACCCCACTAAGGTGCAACGCTTTCTTAATCGCCTCCTTAAACCGATAATCCTTATCTTCATCACGAGCGTAAGGGTATCTCTTACCCGCTAGCTTCCCGATGATTATGTTGAACGTCAAGTGCTCGACCCAAGTGCTTAGGGCTATGGCCTTGTTTGGGACGTCGTTAGCAATGGAGTAGTACAAGTGTTTTACGAAAAGCCCGATTTCCGAGGCCCGGATGTGGGCCAGCCCGTCAAGGCGGCGTGGGGTGAGGAGCTCGAGGGTGGCCATCTTGCGAATGTGGCGCCAGTAGGGCCCATAAGGGGAGAGGGCAAAGCTGGCATTTTCGTAGCCGAGGTATTTGCCGGTGGCCATATTGGGCCGGGTGGCAAAGGCCCGGTCGTTGGTGGTGAAGCATTCCTTGATGGACTGCCAGCTACTCACGACTAGGGCTCGATGGGCTCCGAGCTGCAAGGTGAAGGTTGGGCCATAGGCATCGGCCATGGCTCCGAGGGTTCGGGCCACGGGGGCTGGCCCGCCAAGGAGGTGGAGGTGGCCGATGATGGGTAGGGCCCCCGGTGGCTCGGGTAGGGTGATTTTGGTCGTTTGTGTGGTTTGTGTATTTGGTAGTGATTTTTTTAAGAGGAGGAATGTGATGGTTAGGAGCAGGGCAATTGGTAGGATGAAAGGTTGGAAATCCATTGTGTGAAAAGTTAGTGTGGACATTGGTATTGGTAGGCATGACTATTTATAGAGGTGCCTAAAGGATTTAGCTAGCCTTCCAATTATCAGAAAGATGCGTCGATTACTAATTCGGGATAATTTTTTATTTTTTTTTTTATTTTTTTTTTTNTCCTATACTCTTACATTTTTTCATATAATATAATACATAAAAATTATATACATGTATAAAAACTTTTATTGCAATTTTTTTGAACAATTTGTTTAAAATTATTTACTTCAAGTTTTTATTAAAATTACTTCGTTACTTTTATGACATATTCAAACCACTTAAAATCCCGAACACAATTACTATGATAACTTTATTGTTTATCAAAAAAAAAAAAATTATTATTTATCCATCAAATTAGTTGGCCATAATCACTGAAGATTGCAAAAGTTTGCAATCAATATAGTTATTTATATATAAGTTATATTTATATTATTTATTTTTATTAATAATTAAATTTATTGTGATATGTATATAATCTAATTTATGATTTTAAATATTATATGCACACACATATAACATATAAAATCTTATTATATCTGTGCATACAAGCAAAATCGAGTATTAGTTGTGAAACTTACTGGAAATACACTAAACGATTACCTTAATATATATATATATATACATATATTTTTATATATTATTTTTTTCAATAAAATTAATTTTAGTCTAATAGATTTCAGTCTTTTATATTTCATAGAATTTTAAATGGGAAGCTATTACACAAAGTACATTAGGCAGCCCAGTTTCGTGGCTCTCTTTTCTTCATCCTTATCATGTGGCAGATTTTTTCTAATTAAAATGTGAATCATGAACGTTGCCTAAATTCTATCAAATCATACATAAGTGTGTAAGCTAATCTATACTTATATTAAAGGGGGTACTATTTACTACATTAAGTAGCCAGAAAAGTCAACAGCATTTATTGCATTACTATTTCCGTATTATACTATATAAAAGGATATTCTATTTACTACATTTACTATCCAGAAAAGTCAACTGCATTAAATGTCATTACTATTTTGGTATTATAATATTTTATTTATTTAATTGATTTATTTATTTATTTTATTTGAAAAAGGTAAGTATAATAAAAAGATTTTAATAATAAAAAAATTAAATACTAAATAAAAATGTACACTTTGACTTATTTGATTATATTTGGTATTTGATTATACCAAATATATTTCTATTTAGTATATACATTAAATACTTACTAAAGTATTTATTTATTTTATTTGTCAAAGTTAAATATAGATTTGTTTATATTATCAAATCATAAAAAAATATTAAATCCATATTGTAAAAAAAAATCATAAAATTTTATAACAATTCTACTACACTATTTAACAATATTCCTTTTTTATTATATAATAAAATAATAATTAAATATTATATGGTGAATAACAATAAGTAAAAACTCTTACTTTCTCTTATATCAAAGGATAAATTTATATGTTAAAATTAAATTTTTATTAGTATAAATGTTTTAGTGAGATAATATATTAATTATTTTACAAGCTAGCTCTAACATGCTCATATTTAATGTTTTAAAAGATGTAGAAAAAAAAAACTTATAATAACTCTATTATTTTTTAGACTTAAACGTTGATTAAAATAGGTAAAAATTCTTAATTTTTTAGACTTAAACGTTGATTAACACCATAGATTGAGAGTTTATATTTAATAAAATTCCTAATTGTAATAAAAAAAATAAATTTTGCTATATTTTAGAATATCTTTAAATTCATTATAAAAAAAAAGAGAAAAAAAATTACAATGAAAAAAGCAAGTCAGCTATATATCGATTTGTTGTACTCCTCAAATCACATTCACAATTTGGCTACAAGGAAAGGAACTCATTGATTAAAATATTATTTTGTCAGTAGTCTTAATGTACAAGAGACTTTAAGACTCCACTTGAATATTATAAAACTTTTATTGAATATTATACAATTTCTTGCGTATTATAAACTTTTATTAAATATTGCATCTTATAATATAATATTCTCTAAATAAATATATCTCGTGCTTCGCACGGGTAACGTACTATATATATCCCGTACATTATTCTTTATTCATGTATATAATTATAAGTCTGGATAAATAGCCTTAAAATTATGCACTCCGTGCATCGCACGGGCTCTGTACTAGTTATGAATTAAGACAAACCAATTGTGACAATTCTCAATTATTGAAATAAAGTAATGTGTCCAAAACAACCATCAATATAATATATATATATGTCATGAACAAAACATTTATTAACCAAAACCTATATTAATTACTAAGTGATATTATTAATTAGTAGTCTCCCATGAGGACATTTTTTAGATTCATTAGCAGTAACTTGTTGATTAAAGTTGTTAAATGAAATGATTTGCTTGCAAAATAATAAGCTCAAGTTCGTTTATTGGTTGGTTTTATTAACGAGTCAAGACGAGCCGAGCGCAACTTATTTACATATCTGTTCGACGAAAAATACACGAACTATACATTACAAGAAAAAAATGATAAAATTCCAACAAAATTCTAATGACAATTCCCATGAATATTTCAATGCTAACTACATTTAGCTGGTATTTTCCAACAAATTCTAACGAAAATAATATGTTGGAAATAGTTTCCCAATGAAATTTATATTGGACTTAACGATTCCAATGACTATTTTTTCAACGGTTGAAATATGGTTAGAAAAAAAAATAAAAAAAAAATTCTAACATGAATAAACCGTTCGGATAATTGACGTTATTATCATCATATTACAACTAAAATTTAGAGGAATTTCAATTCTAACGAAATATTTTGTAGATCTCTATTGCGATGTTATATTTCAACGAAAAATTATACCATTGAAATTTCTTTTCGAGCTCTTATTAAAATATATAATCATTAAATTTTGTTGAAATTAATTGGTAATTATTTTGCAGTGATGGTTATAAGCGCTAAACTTTATATACAGATAATAATTTTACAAGAGAAGCATATATATCTATATAAAAATCCAATTAGCACCTGTAATCCCTATATATAATGTACAAAGAAGTGCTTAAAACTAATATAATGTACCTAATTGTTCAAGATTTAACTAGTCATGTTGCTCAAGCTCGAGTCCTTAACGAGCCGAGCTCGCCTCGGCACATTAACTTAACAAATTTATAATTGAGCTCGAGCTCGACTCGTTTCTCCATATTAACGAGTCAAAATCGAGTTGAACTATAGAAAAATATATAAAAATCATCTTTTCAAATTTTAACGAGTTCGACTCGTTAACTGAACTAGCTTTAAATGAGCTCCGACTCAACTCGCTTATTAAACGAACCGAGCCAAACTCGAACTTTAACGAACCGAACCGAATCGAGCTCACGACAGCTCGTTTAATTTAATATCCCTAGCTTGTGAAGTCCATAATCAATCTTGGACACATTCATGTCAAACACTACATTCCACAAAAGTACGTGTCTCACATGTGTCGTGTATCATGAGCCACAGACTAACGAATGAAAATAAATTCAATAATTTGAATTTAGAAATGCCTAAAATCCGTACAAATAAATTTAGTATATATGTTTGGTTGATTATTTTTGTAAGATTCTTGCATTGTAATAGTATTTATGTTTATGTTCATACATGTGTACTCTTATATATATATGGTTTAAACAATATATTGATTGCAAAATTTTGTGTGCACAACTTATGCACATGTATTTTAATCATTATAAGGTAATTTGTCCAATGATAAAAACAATATTTTTGGTAAAATTATAAGAGCACAATTATTATCTTACATGTCCAAATAGTAAAAGTGATGGAAAAAGTGAAAATACATTTTCGGATGAAACTTGAAAGAATTAGGGCATGCTTGTTTACAAATTATTTCATTTTCAATTCAATTTATACTCAAAATCTAACTCAACTTTAACCCAATCTCATTATTTTTAATATTATTCATTTAATTAAATAATATAATCTAATCATTCTTACACATCACATCAACTTTAATTCACTATTCATCCACTCACATAATTTTAACTACCTATCATTTCTAATCATTTCCAAT